TTTAATTTTTTGAGGAACCTCCATACTGTTTTCCATAATGAACATAACAATTTACATTCCCACCAACAATGCCCCAGGGTTCCCTTTCCTTCACATCCTCACCAGCATTTGTTATCTCTTGTCTTTTTTATAATAGTCATTCTAACAGGGGTGAAGTAATATCTCACTATGGTTTTGATTTGCATTATCTCATAATTAGTGATGTTGAGCACCTTTTCATATACCTGTTGGCCATTTGTGTGTCTTGTTTGGAATAACATGTCTTCATTTCCTCTGCCCATTTTTTAAATTGGATTATTTGTTATTTTACTATTGAGCTGTATGAGTAATTTATATATTTTGAATATTAACTCCTTATCAGGTAAGTGATTTGCAAATATTTTCTCCTATGGTACATTGCCTTTTCATTTTGTTGCTGCTTTCCTTTTCTGTGCAGAAGCTTTTTGGTTTGATGTGGTCCCACTTGTTTATTTGTGCTTTTGTTGCCTTTGTTTTTGGTGACAAATCCAGAAAATCATTGTCAAGATCAATGTCAAGGAGCCTACTCTATGTTTCCTTCTAGGACTCTTATGGAGTCATGTGTTACACTTACATCTTTAATACATCTTTAGTTGATTTTTGTGTATGGTATAAGATAGCAGTCCAGTTTCATTCATTTGTATGTGGTCATCCAGTTTTCCCAACACCATTTATTGATGAGATTATCCTTTCCCCATTGTATATTTCTGGCTCCTTTGTCATTAGTTAATTGATCATGTATGCATGGGTTTATTTCTGGGCTCTCTATTCTGTTCCATTGACCTATGTGTCTATTTTATGCTGATACCATGCAGGTTTGATTATTATAGCTTTGTAATATAGTTTGAAATCAGGGAGCATAATGCCTCCAGCTTGTTCTTTTTTTTCTCAAGATTGCTTTGGCTATTCGGTGTCTTTTGTGATTCTATAGGAATTTTAGAATTGTTCTATTTCTGTAGAAAATGCCATTGGAATTTTGATAGAGATTGCATTAACTCTATAGATTGCTTTGAGTAGTGTGGACATTTTAACAATATTCTTCCAATCCATGAGCATGGAATGTCTTTTCATTTACTTGTGTCTCTTTCAGTTTCTTTCATAAGTGTCTTATAGTTGTCACCAAACAGATCTTTCACCTCCTTGGTTAAATTTATTCCTAAGTATTTTATTCTTTTTGATGCTATAGTAAAGAGGATTTTCTTATTTGTCTTTTTCAGAAATCATTGTTAGTGTATAGAAACACAATTTATTTTTGTATATTGATTTTGTGTGCTGCAACTTTACTTAATTAATTTATTAGTTCCAATAATGTCTTGGTGGAATCTTTAGAGTTTTCTGTATATGTCATCTGCAAATAGTGATGGTTTTACTTCTTCCTTTCCAATTTGGATGCCTTTATTTCTTTTTCTTGCCTAATTGCTCTGGCTGGGACTTTAGATACTATGTTGAATAAAAGTGGCAAGAGTGGGCATCCTTATCTTGTTCCTTATTTTAGAGAGAAAGCTTTTATTTTTTTTATTATTGACTATGATGTTAGCTATGGGGTTGTCATATATGGTAAAATAGGTGATGGGGATTAAGGAGGGCACTTGTGACGATCACAGGGTGATATAGGTAATTGTTGAATCACTACATTGTACACCTGAAACTAATATTACACTGGATATTAACTAACTGGAATTTAAATAAAAACTTTTTTAAAGTATGCAAATATAATCCTTTTAGAGAAAGACTAAGATGGGCATTTCTGCCTGTTCCTTCTGCACTGAGTCCTGGGGTAGTAGCCACAGTGGTGCTCACACCCATTAAAAACTGCTTCTTTGTTTGCTATAGTCTTGTGGATCTTGTGGCTGCAATCCCCATTGGCTTTCAAAGCAAGTTGTTTGGAAGGCCTGTCCCTCAAGTGGCAGCCTTAAAGTTAGGAGGCTAAATGTGGGGTCCAAACCCTTAGCTTCTCAGGGAGAAACTGGGATGTGGGAGTTACCTCCCATTTGTATGGCACTGTGCTAAGAGTGAGGTTTAAGGCAAAATTATGTCCCAGCCTTTCCTACCCATTTCAATGTGGGTATTTTCTTATTTGCCAGATGTTTAGGAGTGCCTCAGCTAGTCTCTGGATTTCCTTCACAGGGAATTATTCCATGTGCAAGTGTTTATTTGGCGCATCGATGGGAAGAAGCAAGTTCAGGAGCCTCCTATGACACTGTCTTTGAAAACTGCCCCTACCTAATTTTATAAAAAAGAAATCTTAGTGAGATTGATAAACTTTAATGGATGATAGCTATGAATTATTATGTTGCAGTAGAATTCAAGATGGAATATTGAAGTGATCCTTTGATTAACTTAAGAGTATTTCAGATTCTTATTCTAGTTATTAAAACACTGATATAGTAAGAGAACAAAGTTCAAGCTACTTTGAGTGTTTAATCTAAGTCCATTCTATAAATATTTATTGAGTGCTTTCCATGTTTCAGGCACTGTTCTAGGTACTCGGGATACAAGTTCTATAATGGACTACAAAAATAATAAATACATATATAAAAATAAAGAGTAGTCATAACTTCTAAAATATTAGCCTGGGAAATATTCTAGGTGGTACTGACAGCAAAATTCAGCGGAGGACTGTAATCCAACCAGAAACATTTTTATGACTGCATTCATCGTTTGCCATTTGGTCGCTCATCTGTGGTTTCATTTTACTGAACTCCAACTTTCTCATCTGATCTGAATTACAATGAGGGTGTTAAATCACATCTGTAGTTACCTTTGCATATTTTGTGACTTCAAACAATTAGATTATGATTCACTGTGTGCATAATTTTTTGAATCGTTTCAAACCAGCAGTGTTGCTTTTACTTTTTCTAGGTTTTCTCTAATGAACGAACTTCATAGCTTCATACATTTTGTGCTGTAGTCTAACGGCTCGATACCTGATTCTTTTAAACTAATACAGTATGTGCTTTTTGTGCCTCACTTTTCTCATCTGTAAAATGGGATCTGTAGAAGACCTAACCAACACAGTTGTTATAAGGATGAAATAATTAACATTTGTAAAGAAAACACAGAACTAAAGAAGGTGCCAGGCACACAGTAAGTTTTAAGTGCTGTATTTTCTGCATCCTTACCAGTCATTTACTTATTTCTACTATCTCAAATATTTTAACATAGTAAATGAGGTATTGTTCCTTTTTCTTTCCTTTGTATACTTGGAAGAAGCAGGATTACAATGAGAAATAAAAACAAATACATAATAAAATAAAATTTAAAAAAAAACAACAAATACATATCTAGCAGGGCCATATAAGAAATGTCTCTTTGTCTGTAAACCACTTGTCTCAGGAGTAAATCCCTGAAATGATGCAAACCAAGAGACGTTTTCACACTTAACTCTTTTCTAAAGTTTTTTTCTGATTTCAGAAGACATTGTCATTGTTATAAAATTCCATATTACAGAAATTAATAACTTAGAAAGTAAAAAGTCCCTTTACCCACATACTCACCCCACTCTCTCTACCTTTGGAGAGACTTAATGGTAATAATCTGTATATATTCTCACATGATTTTCCTGTTCATTTATTTTTTATTAAAATAAGATTACATTGCACATACAGCTTTGCAACTGTCTTTTTATTCACTTAAAATAAGTCTTTGGTGTCTGTGTCAACACATTTAATTCCTTCTCATTTCCAACAGCTGCAGAGAGCTGTAACTCAAGGACGTGCTTGTGGCTCTCTACCCACAAAGTCCTATAGTGGTTAGATCTGATTGGAAAAAGCCCTTCAGCTGATCCTTGTACAGTCAACCACTTCAAGTCCTGACCCAGAAGGGGCACCAGGAGAGTCATTCAAAAGATCTGCCCTGTCCACTCCCGGAGACCAGACTTCTCTCAGTGCAGGGAGAAAGGCCGCGCTGGATGATGAATACACATTCATACAGCAGTTAATCCTGATGATCACAGAAACATTATAAATCCAATGCCCTTGAAGTGGAACTCCTCTCTGCAGTGTGGATGCCCAGTCATGCACGGCCCACTTGGAGCAGGAAAGAAATTTTATTTGAGGATGTTAAGGTCAAGTTAACTTATTTTAAAATTGCCATAGGAGGCCATTCATCCCCACTTCACTTCTCCCACTTCAAAGCCTACTTCCCGTCACTCAGATATTTGCCCTTGGAGCAATTAAGTCCCCTTTTATCTTTTCTATGCTTTCATTAACTGCTCTGTTTCTCTTTCTTAGCTTACAAAAGGGCAGATATTTTTGAAGTCAAATGTCAATATGTCAAACATCAAATATCCATTCCCATGCAATACACAGTGAATATAATTAATACTCTATTGTAACAAATGTACTATTACTTAATCTGTATACCAAACTTACACATAATTGACCGGCCAGGTATAAAGATACTCTATGCAGAGAGCTTAGAGTATCCAACTCAGCTGAGGCCTTTGTTAGAGAGTATGTGAAGTCTCAGACTCCACAACACAAGGAAATTTTTTGCAGAAAAGAGCTACAAGCTTCTTTGGCAAGAAAACAAGAGACGTGATGATACCAAGCAACACTTTCATAACCGCGCAAACTATGATGCTCTGTGGCATCAAGCAGGAATCCGCCGTGTTAGGGCTGAGGACGGGAATGCCAATGAAACCGGAGCCAAAACAGCCCTAGTGCTCCCTGGAACACTGAACTTTCCAAAGGCCATTGTCCATCCAGTTCTTCCAGGGTTACGTAGCAAATGGTTCAGAACTGCATAGATAAAGCATAGAATAGCCAAAGGGTCAGAACCAAGGCAATAAGGAGATCCTGTCCTCTGCATTTTCGCTCTTCAGTTATCACAGAGCCCCAGTAGCACCCCTCCAGGCTGGGGTTCAAGATCTGTTTATCTGTGCCTCAAAGAGGTCAAAGCGAACCTTTCTGAAACACTATTTTGAGCAGTAAAACTTCCACGTCCTGCTACTTATGGCTACTTCAACCTGTTTCTTTCAGATACCATTGTTCTTATCGCTTCAATAGCAGTTGTTTCTGCAAAAACTCAGGGTAATATTTTTGCCACGTCTGCACTCAGAAGTCTCCGTTTCCTACAGATCCTCCGCATGGTGCGCATGGACCGAAGGGGAGGCACTTGGAAATTACTAGGTTCAGTGGTTTATGCTCACAGCAAGGTAAGCTTTGCTTTCTAAATTATAGCACAAGACTTCTGAAACTTTTTCACTGATTGCTGTGGAATATTTAATGAACCCATCAAGCAAACAGTCATTTCAGAGGTTGGTTAAAACACAACGTATAATGGATTATTTAAAAGTCATCATACGGTTGCCAGAGGGAAGGGGAGGGGAGAAGAGGCAAATCGGTGAAAGGGAGAGGGAGAGATGGGGTTGCAGTTGTGGAATGACTAAGTCACAGGACTAAAAGGCTCTGCACAGGGATACTCAGTGATACTGTAACAGCGTTGTGTGGTGACAAACGGCTTGTGGTGAGCACAGCATAATGTGCAGAGATGTGGAATCCGATGTTGTACACCTGAAACTAATGTAACATTGTGTGTCAACGTTACCAAACAAAAAATAATGTTTTTCAAGTCCTCATGCCCCAAATAAATTATAGTAAACCCATGTCTTTAGAATACTGTGCACCAATCCAAAAAGACCAAGGAAGTTTTTCTGTTCACTGGGACATCCTCCGAATAAAAAAGTAAATTCCATAAATATATATATACATGCACACACACACACACACAATCATAAATATCCAAAAAGTAGTAAAATGAATACATAGATTTTTTTTCCTTTTTCACAGATTTTTTTTACCTCTAACAGTCTTTCATTCCTTTTATATCTAGGAATTAATCACAGCTTGGTACATAGGATTTTTGGTTCTTATTTTTTCATCTTTCCTTGTCTATCTTGTGGAAAAAGATGCCAATAAAGAGTTTTCTACATATGCAGATGCTCTCTGGTGGGGCACAGTAAGTATAAAAATCTGTTTTTATTTTTTGGATGTTGTGAAATGTTTCCTTTGAATACAGTATAATGATTTCTATGAATCATTTATGAAAGGTCTCAATAAAAACATTAACTTCCAGAAGAGTTATGTGAAAATATACAGCACTAAAATTGTCTAAAGACTTTTCCCATCTCTATGGCTCAACAAAATTAAGTTCTCTTATAAATCATCAGAAGTGTTTCTTGAGTGCTAGATTGTTGCCAAAATAAGGATACATTATTTTTTTTAACTGTGATTAAAATCTTGATAGGGTTGTTTGTTCGTCTTAACTCTGTGGAGCACAGATTTTAAATGACCAATTTGACCAATTTTGCATCGGTTTACCACTCATCAAAAAGTTTATCTGAGGTTTAAAAAAAAGGAATAGTAGCTGAATGGAAGTTATAGTAAAATTATGGCACAAGAAGTGAAAAAGAGAAAACTGGAAACCATCTGTGAGGTCAGAGATCATAGACACCTAATTTCAAAATTTTCCACTCAAAAACCTACTTTTCATTTAAATTGTTATTAAAAGATAGTTTGCCAAACAAATAAAAAAAAATCATGACCTCATACAGACCCGTGCTAAAGATTTTAACTCCTTTTTTAAAATTTGTCGTTAATGAGGGAACCAGTACAATGTTATATCTGGCTTAAAGGACTATCCAAAAAACAGAAACGTATAAAGATCAAGAATATTGAAATGAATTCAAGTAGAGGTAAAGCTGGTTTCTTCCACAGTGTGAGTGTGAAGTCAATTAAACCTCCTCTAGACAGAATTTATTTACATGTCTATAGACAAGAATTATTTTGCAATGCTACCAGTTATCTACAACTTACAGAGTTGCAAAATAGCTCAACAGCCATGAAAAATGCAGAGCCCCATAAAGTCAGAAGTCGATAACCTGGAAATGTGTGCTCTAAGCAAGGCGTAGTTTTCCATTAAAGCAAAAATCTTGTCTGCATTGTAAAGAATTTATAAGACAGTCATTGAAACATGGGCCCTAATAAGAATGTCACAGGATAGGGGAGTGCTTTCTGCAATATATAAACTATATTCTTTTTATTTTCTTCCTTAAGACATTCCAAAAGGGTGTTTTGTGAAAATATACAGCATTTATAATTGTCTAAATGGCTTCCCATCTCTTTGGTCCAACAAAGTTAAGTTCTCTAAAAAATCATCAGTAATATTTCTTGAGTGCTAGATTGTCACCAAAATTAAAATACATCCTTTTCTTAAACTGTGGTCAAAATATTTATAAGTTAAATATTTTTAAGTTTATAATTTATAACTTATAAGCCACCCGGGTGGCTCAGTAGGTTAAGTGTCCAACTCTTGATTTCAGCTCCGATCTGATCAAGCCCCGCATTGGGCTCAATGCTGGGCATGGAGCCTACTTAAAAAAATAAATATATATATTTATAAGTTGATTGTTTTGTGGAATATAAATTTAAGTTATCAATTGTTGCATTGTGCTGCTACTCACCCAAAGCGCATCAGTGAGAGCTAGAACTCTTGTCAAGGACAAAGAAAATTTGTCAGGGCTTGTATTGAACAGAATTCGGGATATTTGTTGGCCACACAGCAGTAGTAAAATGAATAAGAATCAGAAATAGCTTCACCTGAAGGTAGGATTTTTTTCTTAAATTATCAGAGTCATTGATAACAAAGCAATCTGGTGGTGTAATGATTTGGTTCCCAGCCCCTCCCTCCTACCCCACACGCATTAATTGACATTTTGAAAGGAGGAAGGTGGAAAACCTGAAAGAGAGCAGTCATGTGACATTCTTAAAATACCTTTTATATGTAGAATGCAAGTGAAGATCTATGACTCATTGTGTGATAAACTGTGTAAACTGAGAAAACAGGAGGCTCTTCTAGCCAGCAAGGGGAAGACAGTTTATTATTTATTATTTATTAATTTATTATTATTATTATTATTAAGCAACAATTTGAATAGTTTTTGTTTTTCTTTGATAATTCTAACATACTTAAATTCTTGAGACATTCAGGTGCACCTGTCCCTTGGAAATGCAGTCATTGATGAGTTCAGCCTGGCAGTTCTTTATCCTTCTTTCCAATAGTCTTCCTTTTCTCCTTATTACTAATCAGAATTGCTGTATTGTATGTTAAATAGTGTGTGGGAAACTCTTAATATGCTTCTCACTTAGTCACTAGCTTATTTCTTTTGCCAGAATAACCCACATGAGCAAGTTTTCAAAGGTCGTATCTGTGACTTTCATAGGGGAAGCAACATATTTTCATTGATTTCCATTTCAGTAGTGCTATTTTGACTGAAGCTTAACCTGTACTTAACAGGTTCTTTGAATGGCCTAATTATGTCTCCATTAAAAAAAAAAAAACAACAACAAATCTGGTCTTGAATATCCAAGTAAAAATCTTCTAAGATGTCAAGCTTCTACGAAAAGGCCTTGTTGGTCCACAGTGGGTTTGTTGATATTAACTGAGTCATTAATGAAATTGATGCCTAAAAATATACAAAAAAGCAAACAAGAGTGCTTATTATTTCTATTCTTTTTTTTAAAGATTTTATTTATTTATTTGTCGGAGAGAGAACACAAGCAGGGGGAGTGGCAGGCAGAGGGAGAGAGAGAAGCAGGCTCCCCGCTGAGCAGGGAGCTGGACGTGGGGCTCCATCCCAGGACCCTGGGATCATGACCTGAGCCAAAGGCAGACGCTTAACTGACTGAACCACCCAAGCACCCCTATTTCTATTCCTTATAAGAAGAACATATACTGGGTCTCCAGTGTGAAATAAAATAAATTTAGAACACTATACCTTTTATTATATATTGTTCAAGACCTTAATAAAATGTGGCTGGATACTTTCTAGTTAAAATTGTCCATGTTGCACATAATGGACACCTTGCTAACTACGGAATTATCCAGAATAAATAGAGGAATGAAAGTGCCCTGAATTGGAGTGTTTCTAAGTGTTAGACTTCAGTTAAAAAATAGGAAGTTCTCTTCATTAAAAAAGCCCAAATTATTGACATTAAGTATCAAAATGCAATTTGTGGTTTATGGGTACAATATTTCAGTGAATTCTGAATACTAAGTACTAACTTCCTTTCTTTAAGAAAATAACAAGGGCTATCCCCAAGACCAACTTTTGGAGGGATTCAGGGTATGATCAGCACTACTCAAAGCCAATAACAATTCAAAGAACTCTGATCCCGGAAAACAATTCCATACTATCGAATAACAACACCTAGCTTGTTAAGTAAGTGTAATAATCAATATAAAGGGCCTGGTACCAAGACCACAGCCAGTGCCCAATCAAAGATGGTGGCTACTGTTGGCAAAAACATTTCGTTATGGATGTTAGACGGAAGCACCTTTAAGACAAAAGGAACAAAAAGCTATATACCTCATGGCAGACTCACAGCTTAAGCACAGAAGGGGCTTGGGAATTGGGGGTTACAATGAAAAGATGTTCTGGGTTCTGAAGGGACGTTTGTGACAGCGGAAGTAGAAGAGGGTCAAGGGGAAGTAACTCGTGGCTGAGGCACTGGCAGCTACAGGCAAAGAGGATCTTCTGATTGTTAGGCAGAGCTCCATTGGATGTTATTTCCCATTACTATTTTCCTCCTTTTTGGTTGCTTTAGATTTATTCTGAAATAATTTAAGAACAAGTCTTCCTGGAGTTATTTCCTATTATTACCTCCTTCTTTCCTGTTACTGTTTTTCTCCTTTTGATTTGCTTTAGATCTATTCTGAAATAACTTGAGATCAGGTCTTCCCGAAGTAATATTGCCTGATAATGATCTGCTCTTGAAGGCCAGGTTGTTCTCTACTTCCTGCTATTTCTGTGATGGAGACAGTGTGATGGGGTGGCTTTTTTATTAAGAGGCATACAGCAGCAAACAGTATTCTTGAGTCAGCGTCTGAGTACAGCCCTCACCTGGGACCATGTGCTTGACATGATTACTTCAGGCAGGTAGAAGAATTTTGTATTAGCCAGTTAGTCCTAGAATTCAAAGCAAATAATTGAGAAGGCTCTATGGATGGTGTAGTATACAGTGCACTCAGCAGGTTGTACAGCCCATTATTAAACACCAAGCAAAAACTGAGACACACATACCCAAGCTGCTACCCACTGAAACATCTTAGCCGCTATGAGCATTTACAAGTCCTGTGCCAACCTGGATGGCACGGATGTATGAAATATATCAGTCATAAGCCTCTTTGGGGAAGCCTCTCCTAAGAAGTCTGTTCCATTAGAATGTCCTCTCACACATGGCTCTGAATACTTTTGCTCAGTTTTAGTCCATAAACATTGAGCACATACTGCATGGAAAAGAACAGAAGAATGACAGTCAGGGAACTTGGCTTCCAGCCCTGTCGTTATGATTTAGCAGAGGTGTGGTATTCAGCAATCATTTACTATCTCTATAAAATAGAGAAAATAGCATTACCCAAACACAAAGTTGCTATGTGTAGTAAACGAGAATAGGATATGTAGGGCCTTTATCGGGCACTGGATAAATATAAGTCACTACTGTTGTTATGTATGTGACAACGAGCCTGGAAGAACAACAGAGAATGCTATTGCCCTGAGCTGCCTGCCACAGCAGCACCCACATTATGTGATGCCACCACCACAAGAGAGTCTGCTATCTGCACACCCAAAACCTTTCTCATCTCCTAGTTTATGGTGAACAAATTTCTGCACAGGGTCTAGACTACCCACTCTGAAACTAGGTGTTCAGGAAGTAGCCCAGAGATAAGAGAAGAGAAAGAAGATGAAGAGAAGAGAAAAGAGAAGAGAAGAGGAGAGAAGAGGAGAGGAGAGGAGAGGAGAGGAGAGGAGAGGAGAGAAGAGAAGAGAAGAGAAGAGAAGAGAAGAGAAGAGAAGAGAAGAGAAGAGAAGAGAAGAGAAGAGGAGGAGAGGAGAAGAGAAGAGGAGGAGAGGAGAAGAGAAGAGGAGGAGAGGAGAAGAGAGGAGAGGAGAGGAGAAG